GCAAATAGTGAGAGTTTCACTTCTTCGTTACCTATTTGGATTCCTTTTATTCCTTTTTCTTGCCTAATTGCTCTGGCCAAAACCTCTAGTACTATGTTGAACAGGAGTGGTGAGAGTGGGCAGCCCTGCCTCGTTCCTGTTCTCAGAGGAATGGCTTTCAGTCCACCAACAGAGAATTTTACTTTTAAATTGAGAAAACACTAAAAATATTTCAGTTAAAAAAAGGAGGCAGATTTGGAATACTCTTTAAATGTAATTATCAATATAAAAAATAGAAAATAAAAGATGAAAAGTAACCTTTTGCTTAGGTTACTTTAGGAAAAACGATATATATATATGAAAAACCAATTGATTCTAATTTAAAAATATTAGAATTGATAAGATTATTTGTAAAAGAAGAGGTCAGGTCCCAGATACATATAAGAAAATTAATAGTTTTTTTCTCTTGTGAATATATGTGAATGTGACTATAACATTAAGAACCTGGAAATGAAAATGGGAACAATATTTCATTTACAATAACACTGAAACAACAAAATACTTAATAAGTTAATCACTAAGAAAAACAGAATTTATCTGTAGAAAATACATCTTTTTACGAGATATAAGATCTAAGCAAGTAGAAAGATATACCGTATACTTGAATGAGAAGACTCAGTATAGGAAAGTCTCTCTTCTTCTGTATCTCTGATACCTATAAATCAATATACAAATTTAATGCAGTTCAAATAGAACTACCATCAGAGTGAGGTTGGGAGAGGGGATTTCATAATATAATACTAAATTTTGTATGGAAAAATACAGACTTAAGGGAAGTATGGAAAAGAATGTGAAAGGATTTAATTTCCCAAATATCTAAATATAATGTAAAGCCTCTATATAATCAGAGCAAATTGTATTCACATAGCAATTGATCAGTGGAACAAAATAGAAAATCCAGAGAAAGATGTTAGTACTAATACTTAGTATACACCAGAGATTTCATACAGGAGAGAAACCCTATTATTCAATGTAGAAGAGTCTGCAGTGCTCATCTTTAACACAAGAGCAAACACACTGGGGCAATAATCCTTATATGGATATAAACACTGTGGGAAAGCTTTGGGTCATCGTTCATCCCTTCATCAACAGGAACAAATTCACACTCTAGAGAACCCTGTAAATATGATGAATGTGGGCAAGAATTCAGCCATACAGCTAGCCTTTATACACATAAGAGAATTCATGTGGAAAAAGAGAAACTTGATACATGTAACCAGTGAGGAAGAGCCTTCAGCACAGATCTAATCATCAGGTGCACAAGAAAACTCATTCTGGGGAGAAACCCCAGAACTGTAATAAATGTAAGAAAATTTTTAGCAAGAGAAAGCCTCTTGGTGAACCTGAGTTTCTATACCAGAGAAACAATTAGAATGAAATAAATGTGGGAAATCACATGTTTGCAGACATTTTAAATGTAAGGAATGAAGGAAAGTCTCCAGTGATCACTAGTACATTAATCAACATTAAGGTTCTCACACGGGAGCAATCCCTATGCCTAAAAGCAATGTGGACGTGCTTTCAGCTGGGGATCACATCAGACAGTTCCTCCAGGGAGAACACTCTATAATGTTTTCTTTAGCACACAACTGAGCAAATGAATCCCACTTTCACCAGATGACATATTTTTTAAACATATGTAGAATAAAGATGTAGGATTATGAATTGTACTTAGAAATACTTAAAGCAGAAGTTGGTGACAAGTAATAATCAATAAGATGAATCCTATACAAATGATTACTAAGTAAGAATACCTAGTAAATTAAAGGTTATTGCTAAAATGTATTGTAAAAGCATCGAGCATTCTGTTGAGCACGAGCCAGTTTTCCTGTAATAATCGACCACTGTTGATTAGCTAGTATCTATTTTTTATGCAGCTAATACACCATGATTACAAAGACTTTGAGGCTTTCAGAAAATAATTTTGAATGTTAACCAAAAGGGTGGAATGCAAAATAGTTTATCTTTTATTTCATTGATGTTAAAATATATACGTTCATGGATAGAGCAAATGGAAATATGGATAAACACATGACTTGTGGGTAAATTAAAAAATGTGTTTGTCAGTATTGTTCACAGAGTCGATAAAATGGAAACAAAAGTGAATGCCTATCAGTAGAAAAATGGTTCGATAAGTTATGATAACATCTCTCTATGAAATATGCAATTATTAGAAGTGATTTAAGGCTTTGTAAGTTGATATCCATGAGATCATTGAAGTGAAGAGTAAACTGCAGAGAGAAGTAGGTATAATATGATCTTCTTTGTGTAAAGCAAATAGAAAGGAAAACAAGCCATACATATGTGTATATTTATGTATACGTATGTATATGTATAATTTATATGTTTATATGCTTGTATAGTAGGACAGAGGAAAGTACTGAAAGATACATACCATCTTATTAACGTGAATGGGGATATGAGACAAGTGAAAAAAGAAGACTACATAAAGGAGAAATTCTACATATGTTATGATAACACTTATTTAAAATAATATATATGTGTGCTTTTGTGCTTAAAATATTACATATTTAGAGAGGCTATGTTTTAAGGCAGATTGATTACTCAATCAAATTATTACCTTCTCTTGGGATCACAATGAATAGCCAACTGCAGTAGTAAAATGAAACTAAACTCATGAACCTTTTAGGGGGGTCTCATTTGAAACCCTTGCTCCCCAGCATAGAAAAAAAATTCCAAGGCCAGCATATCATATAGTCCATAAAGAACAAAATTACAAGCAGCAAATAGAGCTCACCAGCTAATTGCAAACTAGTGGAAAACTTAGATTGTTGCATTTTTTTTCCTTTTTCGTAGATGAGGATGGACTTGGTATAAGTATTATTGGAATGGGTGTTGGAGCAGATGCTGGACTTGAAAAGCTGGGAATATTTGTCAAGACAGTAACAGAAGGTGGTGCTGCTCAACGGGATGGCAGGTAAGCCAAGTACTGTTGTTAATATCTAAAATCTAGGAAACTTTTCTGGGAATTTCTTCTAATGGTAGCTTTCTTCTTTTGATTTTTTAGGACAGAGTTTCAGAGTGTGTCCCAGATGTGGAAAATGTTAAAGCACTTGAATTACTTTCTGATGTGTAGGCAGAATACCTGCTTTCTTTAATGTATATTAGATAAATGGGTGGGTGAATCTATTATCTATATCTATATCTTCGTATCTGTCCGTTCAGCTATTTAGTGGGAAGTGGGCAGAAACATGGGTGTATATAGTTTAAGAATATGTACTATGGAGATCAGCATATAGTTTTGTTTCAGAAATATCAAAACAAACAATAATCATTCTGGCAATTCTGAAAATGACAGAGGTAGAAGGGAAAATAGTAACTCCAATTGTGCGATGTTGATATTTCTGGAGATCAATGTTTCTCAAAATGTGTGTCTAAAGACACATTATGGTAGTAGTAAATATTTCCCATTATTAATTTAGAAAGTTTCCTCCAAGTGAGTTAAAATTGGGTTGTAAAATCTGCATCATTTGTCTTTAAGTTACATGAAAAATTTAAAAGTTATTCTAAAGTGATAGGAAATAATTCTTATTGTTAGTATTCAAACAATACTAAATTATTATGAACCATCTCTCTTAAATAAATGGCACTAAACCCAAACCAAAATACAAATTGACTAAAAAACAAAGAGAAAATTTTGCATTCAGCCCGCTTTTAGCCAGTTCCCATTGTTCTAACCTCAGACCTATTTGTTTTTCCATCACTCATTTTTAAAAGTAAGTTTGTTTTCTGTTAATCTATTTCCTGATTTGCTCTCCTGCGTAGTTTCAGTATTTACACCAATATGAGAAATTTGCTTTATCAATTGCAGCATGCATTTCCTCAATTCTTTTAAATGAATGTTTACCTAGTGTAGTAATCCTGCTGTTTTTATAATAGATGCTTAATAAATACCTCTGTGAGTATACTAAGAAAGGCGATTTGATGTAATGAAATGAGCAGGATCTTTGGGATCATGTGATCAGGAGTGTTAATCCCATGCCCCCTAATTACCAGCTGTGGGTTATTGAACAAATTACTTAATTTTCATGTTATCTACATTGTGAATAAAATATCACATTTTATTCACATAAAACGTGAATAAATGTTTTTATTCACGTTTTATGTGAATAAAAAACTTTCCATAGTGCTGTTTGTTTATGAAACTGTTCTTGAATGAAGTAGGAGTAAGCTTGAAATTAAAAAAAAAAGTTATTATGGGAAGTCTTACAAAAAACTACAGAAAGATGTATAAAATATGCACAGGATCATAAAATTTTGGAGGTCAGAGGGACTTTAGAGATCTTTCAGTCCATACCTTTCATTTTATATGTGTATGAAAATTGAGAAGAGAGAGAGAGAGAGATATAAATAAGTGATCTTACTATTAGACCTATGACCATGTTCACATCTTTTAAATTATTATATTATTAGTACCACCATGACTGGTATGCTTATTTGCACAGTATTTAAATATTTGCTATTTAAAGGGTATCAGTATAAAAAAATTACAAAAGGAACAGTTGGTTGCTGCAGTCAAAAATAATTTTTTTTAAGTTATGTATACTTATTGATATAGAAAAACCTTACATTAAGGATTTACAAAACAGTATGATTCGCATGATGCCATTCTTGTGTGGATATGTTTTCTATTTATTCATTCCCCCCAACCTCTCTTTCTCCATCTCTTTTTCTTTCTGTCTCTCATAAAACCCAGAATTAATATGCACCAAAGTGTTGAATGGCTCTAGTCTGTGTTTTTTTTGGATTTCAGTTAATATGGAATACTTAATTTTTTGTGTGTGTGTGTGAGAGGCGATCAGCCATGTGCTAACATCTGCCAATCCTCCTCTTTTTTTTTTTTTTTTTCGCTGAGGAAGACTGGCCCTGGGCTAACATCGGTGCCCATCTTACTCCACTTTATATGGGATGCTGCCACAGCCTGGCTTGCCAAGCGGTGCGTCGGTGAGCGCCCGGGATCCAAACCAGTGAAGCCCGGGCCGCCGCAGCTGAGCGTGTGCACTTAACCGCTTGCGCCACCGGGCTGGCCCCCCTGGAATACTTAATTTTTTATAGGGACTAAGTAATACTTATATTTTAAACTACAACTAGAAATAATAAAGTTATCACCATGTGACCTCGGGAAAGTTAATCTTCAGACCTCAATTATGGACAAAATTAGAGTTCTGGATTAGATGTTCTTTACACTTCCTTTTAGCTTTAAAGGATATGAGTCTGTGTTATACCTTTCTAGCTTGCTTTAGTTTCTTAATAAATCTTCCTTATTTAAGAAAACAGTTTCAATCTAAGATTTTATCACACTTCCTTCGAGGGATGTTAAATAAACAGATCTATATAGAAAATTCTTTTCTCCCTCCTCCCATTTCCCGCCTCCACACAAGAAGCCTTTTAATTGTAATTGCTTTTACCCCTTCTGAACATCTCATAAACTCTCACCATATTTTGAGTACTTTTAAAATTTTGCCATGGGTGTTTACCTTCTGAGTCATCCAATGTAGTTAAAAAGTTTCGAGTCTCCCTTATTCTTTGATATTACATCCTACATTCTAAATTTTCTTTTGTCAAGCTTTTCAGGTCTGTCTGTACCTTTTCATATGATTCCTGAAACTTAGGGGGGTGCTCAATAAACATTTGTTGAATGAGTGAATACTTTGTGTTTTAATCTCTTTCAAAACATTTACTTGGGCCTAACATTTTTCTTTTTCTTCTTTTCTCTTCCCTTTTTTTTTTGTTACTCTGCTTCTTACAGGGTAACTTGTAATTTAACTGAGTGACATAACAGCCATTTCCACCTTCTGTTTTACTTCTAAATTTTTAGTAAAATAATATTAAATATATTAACCATTAGTTTTTGCTGCCATAAATTTTATGATTGTACACAGGACATTTTAACACACTAATTATTTCTCCAGTCCTCTTTAATGAATCTATAAAGCAAAATGAATTTTATAATAACACAGTTGAAAATGCTGATAGTAGAATAAATTACATGGATGATAACTGACGAAAGATAGTAATAATGCTATGCTAAAGAGGCAAATTAAAAATGCATTTGGGATCTGCTTTGTTTGTGGCTCTTATGTTCGTTTCTCAAGCTTTTGCATCTCATCATTTTAGAACACTGTCCTTTTCAGTTTTTTTTGGAAGAGGTATCAAATGTGAAATTCAGGTGCTATGTAGTTGATCTTCGTTCAAATGTTGAACAAAGATACGTTCCAATGTTGAACGAACAATTTTAATTGTTTTTGACCACCTTTTGGGTAACACCAGTATATAAAACAGGTGGAGTCCTATTCTTGTGCTTACCCTGCAGCCAGCTCTCGCTCCTGCAGGACCGTCTGTGCCCTTGAGGCGCCCTCCAGCCTGAGACAACCCTGAATGGAAACTACTGTTTTAATTGTGTCCATCTGTCAGCATTCCTTAGTTGATGGTTTCCTCTCTGTGCACATGCCCTTGTGTCACTCTTCTAATCAAATATTTTGCTTGTTCATCCCTTAGAGAGTTGGGATGTTACTGCTTTGATATGTATTTTCATATACATTTAAAACTTCACTATCTAGCATTTTGGGGAAGACTCTTTGTTGTCCAGAGTTCACTAATGTTGCTCCAGCTGGTCTCCCTTTCATTCATCATTGGTTGCTTTGTTTACGTAAGCCCGGTGAGGTAGAATTTTTGTTTTTGTTTCCCCTTCCCAGGTACATCAGGTCAACAAATAACTAACCAGTAGCATTAAACAAACCCTAAATAGTACAACTTATATATTTTTATTAGCCTTGCCCTCATTGATTCTGATTTTTAGATTCAGAATTGAGGGATATCAGAAATACCAGGCTGAGGCTGAAGAGCAGTAGTATTGCACACTCGTGTGTATTAGCACGTGGAAACAATTGAGGACATGGCCAGGACTGGATGCCTTTTGCAGACTAGCCGGGTACATTCCCATGAATTCCACTCTGGTAGACAATGTTTCCAGGGAAAAACAGGCTATTTCCTCTGCTAGTCTGGAAAATTTTTGGCAAGTCCAGATTATCTGTATTCTTTGTACTCTGGGATGGTCTGATACAGAGAGCTGTCCATTTAATTTTTACAACCAGGACTCATCCCTTGTCTTTTTTGTGCTTCTAATTATAAGCCGAGATTTGAGAGAGATGATCAAATGATCAGTGTTACTGTCCTGTGGGGTTGCATCTAAAAATTATCCTCTCTCAGGGTGAGAGATTCAAGCAAAGTGGGTATCAGACACCAGAAAACATTTTCTCTACCGTAATAACTATTTATGTATTAAATACCCTGCTGGCTCATGATCTAGTGGGTTGTAGAGTCAGTCTATGGTGGCAATAAAGCTGAACTGCTGCTCTTTTTTTTAACCAATATTGTTCCTCTTATCCCCTGTTCAATCCTCTCTGCCTCTCCTCCTCCTTCTGCTCATTTTTACAGTTTCTTGAGTTTATCTCCACCTTAGTCACTACACAATCTATCTCTATAAAAAGATAAATCGAAATACCCCTCAAATAAAATAGCAAACTCCATAGAACTTCCCTCCCTCCCTTTTTAAAATTGAAGGTGGGTTTTATGTCCTTTTTATTCAATTGTGTATCAAATGTTTAAATTTTTTATTTGATGAATGTATCATTTTTGAAATGAGAAGTTTTTAAAATAAATATTCATTTAATGAAAATAATAATGAAATAGTATTGAGCTCTCTTCATCCGCTTAATGCTGTCTGTATCGAGGCAGGCAGGAAGAATTATGTAGGATCAGGAACGTGCATTTTAGTCGTGGGATGCCCCTTTCTTACACTGGTCTATGAATGCAAAGAGCAAATCCAACCAAATATCTGTTGTCACTGTTCTTGCTGCATGGAGTACTTTAAGGCTACCTTGGCCCTCTTCTGTCTTCTCAGTGACAATTTCCAGT